CAAATCTCCTGTTCAGGGTTAAATACATGCTTTATTGTTTGACTGATGGGAAGATTGTCTGTCACTGTTTGTGACCTGCTGGATTCATATATTGGTGCAGTGTTTAGTCACTCAGTCATGTCTGACTTTTTGCGACCCTATGGACTATAGGGCTCCTCTGTCCATGGGACTCTCCAGGCAAGAATACTGGAATGGGTTGCCATTTCCTCCTCCAGGGGATCTTCCCCACCCAGGGATCGAACCCATGTCTCTTAGGTCTCCTGTATTGGCAGGTGGGTTTTTTTACCTGCTGGTACCACCTGGGAAGCCCAACACAAGCAATCCCAGATGATTCAGATTAATTCATATATTCACTGTTCTATGTTTTAAGAATGTATCAGTGACCTAGAATCTTGATGTCATATGTACAGATAGCCAGGGCTGTTTGATATTGTAGTTCCTGGAACTATGCAGTGTAACTTTGAACATTTTCAGTTCAGTTAAGTCACTCAGTCGTGTCTGACTCTTTGCAACCCCATGAACCGCAGCACACCAGGCCTCCCTGTCCACCACCAACTCCTGGAGTTTACCCAAATTCATGTCCATTAAATCAGTGATGCCATCTAACCATCTCATCCTCTGTCGTCCCCTTCTCCTCCTGCCCCCAATCCCTCCCAGCATCAGGGTCTTTTCAAGTGAGTCAGCTCTTCACATCAGGTGGCCAAAGTATTAGAATTTCAGTTTCAAAATCAGTCCTTCCAATGAACACCCAGGACTGATCTCCGTTAGGATGGACTGGTTGGATCTCCTTGCAGTCCAAGGGACTCTCAAGAGTCTTCTCCAACACCACAGTTCAAAAGCATTAATTGTTTGATGCTCAGCTTCCTTAATAGACCAACTCTCACATCCGTACATGACTACTGGAAAAACCATAGGCTTTACTAGGCTGACCTTTGTTGACAAAGTAATGTATCTGTTTTTTAACATGCTGTCTAGGTTGGTCATAACTTTCCTTCCAAGAAGTAAGCATCTTGTAATTCCATGGCTGCAATCACCATCTGCAGTGATTTTGGAGCCCCCCAAAATAAAGTCAGCCACTGTTTCTACTGTTTCCCCATCTATTTGCCATGAAGTGATGGGACCGGATGCCATGATCTTTGTTTTCTGAATGTTGAGCTTTAAGCCAACTTTTTCACTCTCCTCTTTTCATCAAGAGGCTCTTTAGTTCTTCTTCACTTTCTGCCATAAGGGTGGTGTCATCTGCATATCTGAGGTTATTGATATTTCTCCTGGCAATCTTGATCCCAGCTTGTGCTTTATCCAGCCCAGCATTTCTCATGATGTACTCTGGATATAAGTTGAATAAGCAGGGTGACAACATACAGCCTTGACGTACTCCTTTTCCTTTTTGGAGCCAGTCTGTTGTTCCATGTCCAGTTCTAACTGTTGCTTCCTGACCTGCATACAGGTTTCTCAGGAGGCAGGTCAGGTGGTCTGGTATTCCCATCTCGTGAAGAATTTTCCACAGTTTATTGTGATCCACACAGTCAAAGGCTTTGGCATAGTCAATAAAGCAGGAATAGATGTTTTTCTGGGACTCTCTTGCTTTTTTGATGATCCAGCGAATGTTGGCAATTTGATCTCTGGTTCCTCTGCCTTTTCTAAAACCAGCTTGAACATCTGGAAGTTCATGGTTCACGTATTGCCGAAGCCTGGCTTGGGGAATTTTGGGCATTACTTTACTAGTGTGTGAGATGAGTGCAATTGTGCGGTAGTTTGAGCGTTCTTTGGTGTTGCCTTTCTTTGGGATTGGATTTAAGATTTTAATGACTCCTTAACTATATTTTAAAGTGTTGCATGGCTTAAAGTTCAAACTATAAACTATCTCCCTTTAAGTTTTAATATATAAAGATGGAAATGTGTCTGACTTGAAAGGAATTGTACTGTAATCAAATGTGAATGTGTTAAATGGAGGCTTATATTCTGTATTTGGAAATGTAAGTTTAGTCACTGAGTTGTGTCCAATTCTTTGAGACGCCGTGGACTGCAGCACGCCAGGCTCTGCTGTCTTCTACTATCTCCTGGAGTTTGCTGAAATTCATGTCCATTGAGTCAGTAATGCTATCTAACCATTTCATCCTCGGCTGACCCCTTCTCCATTTGCCTTCAGTCTTGCCCAGCATCAGGGTCTTTCCCAATGAGTTGGCTCTTTGCATCAGGTGGCCAAAGTATTGGAGCTTCAGCTTCAACATCAATCCTTCCAATGAATATTCAGGGTTGATTTCCTTTTGGATTGACTGGTTTGATATCCTTGCAGTCCAAGGGACTCTCAAGAGTCTTCCAACACTGCAATTTGTTGGTGCTCAGCCTTCTTTATGGTTCAACTCTCACATCTACAGATGTGAAATACATGACTACTGGGAAAACCATAGCTTTGACTATCTGGACTTTTGTCAGCAAAGTGATATCTCTGCTTTTTAAACAGCTATCTAGGTTTGTTACTTGTAGCTAAGCTGGTAAAGTATCCGCCTGTAATGCGGGAGACCTGGGTTCGATCCCTGTGCTGGGAAGATCCCCTGGAGAAGGGAAAAGCTACCCACTCCAGTATTCTGGCCTGGAGGATTCCATGGACTATACAGAGTCGGATGCAACTTTCACTTTCACAGATTTGTCATAGCTTTCCTTTCCTAGGAGCAAGGGTCTTTTAATTTCATGGCTGCAGTTTGCTTCCTTGAAAAAGTGATCCTAAAAAAAAAAAAAAGAAGTGTTCTGATCTTACTGCTCCATGCTGAGTGCCTGGCATGTGGAGTACTCTTACTGAATATTTACTGAATGAATGAAGGAATAGGTCTGTCCAAATGTAGGGGTAATGTTGGAAGAGATTTAAACAGAAAAGAATAAACCTACCTGGAATATTTTGTTTTCCTTATAACTTGCTTATTTTCTTCCTGATTATAAATAAGTATATACGTATATGCATTCTTACATTTTCCCAGTTTGCCTTCCCTCTAACAGTGTGAAAATGCCTGTTTACCTACAGAATCTGGTTGTTAGTATTTTTTCCTTTGAGCTCAATCTCAAATTAGGGTGGAGGCATTTACGAATTTTTTTGTATTTGCTGTAAACACTTTATTCCAATACGGCTTTCCTTTTCATTTACTTTTTAAAGAATTTTTGTTGTTGTTGAAGTATAGTTGAATTGTAATGTTGTGTTACTTTCAGATATACAACAAAGTGGTTCAGTTATTTATATATATGTAACACTTATTTTAATAATACTCAAGAAGAAATTTTTCTTTCAGTTCTTAGATATCCCTCTCATAAGAAATCCTAGAACAGAATAATCATAAGGAATCCTAGAACAGAATAAATCATCTTGGGATGTATTTCTTGAAGTTTTATGTTCCTCCTTAAAACCAAACCCTTCAGCAAAAGAAAAAAAAAAATTGTTTTCAACCATCCAAAACATTTTCAAAGAAAATCTCTGTCATCCCTTATCTCTTTTTTTATGTAGCTCAGAAAACAAGTACCTAAGTTTTCACTTCCAAGGCATAAAGGCCTCATTGAATAATATAGATATGTAGACGGGTAAACTGATTGATTGGTTTAAGATAATATGATAGGACTTCCCTAGTGTTCCAGTGGTTAGAACTCCACACATCCAATTCACGGGGCACAGGATCAATCCCTGGTCAGGGAGCTAAGACCCTACACGCCTTGTGGTGTGGCCAAAAGATAGAAAAATAAAATATGCAAAATAGAATATGATAATGTGCACTTAGGATGTTCCAGGGTGGGAGAAATTTTAAGATATAGCATAGTTTTATCCTCTTATTAGAAACAATCTAATGTAGAAGCTTGGTGAATATAGCAGTGTCAGAAGTGAAGGAGGGACTGCCATAAATAGGAAGGATTTAATTTCTAGGTTTTTTTTTTTTTTCTTGCACTTCTGTCCAATCTGAAAAATTAAGTCTTTGTACTTTGGAGAAGGAAATTATGAATGCCTGAAAGTAAATTTAAATAAATAATCTGCTTTATTTTTTCTTAAAACACCACCTTTAGCAGAACAAAGAATTTTGATAGCTAAGTATATAAGGATAAAAGAAGTGAATTATGTGCTTGTTAAATTAACCTACCTACCTCTTTTACCATTTTTGCTGTGCAGTGTTACCCAGTATTAATTGTCCTGTTACCCAGCCCTTTTATCCTACAGCAAGGGGAATTGATGAGAATAGGTGCATTGTGTTATGTCTGATCACAGTTTGACTAGCACAGTCTGGAAGTGGGTTGTGCACGATGAGAGCAGGCAGCCTAATTGCTCCCCCTGCATCAGCAGCATCTATAAAGCATCCTGGGAATTGCTCGCCCTACGTTCAGAGCAGCTGGTCACATGAGCCTGAATTTTCAGTTCAGTTCATTAGTCAGCCATTTTGGTCAACACCCTGCTTACTGCGCACGACCAATCCCATTAGAACTCAGCATCCCGGCTCCTCTGAGCAGATCCTGGAAGTGATTTCTGCAATTCAGGATTTTTTTTTTTAAGCTAAACGGAAAATATTGGTTTATTTTTTGTTCATTTTTTTTCTTTTGTATTTTTTTTTCTGTAAAAAGAAGGAGGATTTTTCACTTACTCATACAGAGGCCAGTTTTTTTAAAGTCAACTAAGGTATCATCGACTGTGCAGGATTTCAAGCCTCTGCCTCAGCTGAAAAAGAAGGGGGTAGGGAAGGGAAGATAACAGGAGAGAAGCTGGAAGAAGACAAGCATCATCTTATGTTGCTATGTGGTAGGAACTGCCTCTGAGAAAAGATAGCATAGAATTGTTAATCTTAAACAGTTGGTGCTTAAAGCATAGGTATTTTTCCATCTTTTTTTTTTTTTTTTAACCCTCCCCCGCCTCTTTTCTTGAGAGCTTTGTTACAGAGCTTCGGATTTGGGGGTTTCTGTTGAGGAGGGTTTTTATTTATTTTTGTTTAGGGTGTGTGTGTGTGTGTGTGTGTTGTGGTCCCAGCTGAGTCATCATGTCTGCTCTGACGCCTCCAACCGACATGCCAACCCCCACCACTGACAAGATCACACAGGCTGCCATGGAGACCATCTACCTTTGCAAATTCCGAGTGTCTATGGATGGAGAATGGCTCTGCCTGCGAGAGCTGGATGACATCTCACTTACACCTGACCCAGAGCCTACCCATGAAGGTATGGTCAGAACCCGTCCTCCAGTATCTCACCAGCATCCTCATTGTTAATCGGGCTGGGAGGGTCAGGGAGAGGCAGGAGGAACCCATACTCTAAACCAGCTAATGGTCCTGAAAACCTTTCATCCTTAAACCTACTACCAGCTCCCCTTCTCTACTTTACTGGGGGAAAATATTTTTTCCCTGCCCTCTGAGGTATCCTTTCAAAAGATGCTGGTGCTTGCTTAGAGTTCTTTGTCTTGAAGGCTCTAAAGAACATTTGAGATCACTTATCACATCTGATCCTAATCAACCAATGGAAAAGCTATTAATTCTGATTAGATGCTAACATATTATAGAAATTATAGTTATTTTTAATAGAGTAAGGTAAAATAGCATGACTAATTAATTATAGGAGCGTAAGTGATATAGTTGAAACACTCACAAAGGGTATCATATCATTAGGATATAATGTTAAACAGGCTGTGATATCTAGAAAATACATGGTCAAACATTCTTTCTTTAAAATAATATAGATTGTAAGGTTAGATGAGAAAGCAGTTTTATGTTCAGTGCTTATTTAATGAATGTGGTCTCAAAAAAGCATAATACCTTAAAAGGTTAAGCATGACTGATAAGGTAATTCCTACCCATGGAACCAATTGGCCATTGCTTTTTATAAGTTGTTTGTGGTAACTATTGGCCTATGTGAAATCTCTACTGTTAGTCCCTTTGAGACCTTTGTAGTCTCTTGACTTGTGACTTTTTCCCAGAACCTTTTCTAAATTCTGAGAGGCTTTGATCTTCTACCCCTAAATTTTGTGAACTTAATACCATAAGGAAGAAAATTAATTTGAATCAAATTGTTTTGTACTTTTGTGTACTGGCCTCTTAGCTAGTGTTTGTTCTCAACCCTTAAAATAATGAAGAAAAAAATGCTCACCTATGAGAATACATTTTACATACAGTCTGCCCAGTGTTTAGGCATACTGCAGGACAGAGGGTACAAGGTGAATTGCACCTGGCTTTTGGGTTAGAAAAAGTGATTCCTTGTCCTTGACCAAGCATTGTAATCTTATCATGACTCAGATTTCACTGTGTCTGAAAAGGATTTTATTTTCCCAGTTAGCCGCTTTTAGAGAGGGTTAACATCGAAGCACAAAGCAGTCATTTGGGTGTGTCTTTAAGGGCAATGTTTAAGTAGTTTGTAAGGCCCTTTGCACCCTTAACAATTGGTTTGTCTGTTGGACAGCTTCCTTTGGCTCTGAGTTTCAGAATGTGCTGCAAGGCGGTCAGGAGACATCAGCTGGAGGCACATACAATGCCGGTACTGTTTAGAACAGCTTCCCGAGCTTGAAAAATCTTTAGGGAAGAAAAGTACGTTTTGAGAATGCTACCAAGAAGTTTTTTCAGCGGATGCCTCAGTCTGCATATTTTGTTTTTAAAAATATTTATTTTGAAAGTCACACAATATCATATATTCCCTTAATTATAAATTTTATGTGTCATTGTCTCTAATTTTGAACAAATTTAATCACTTGAATGGGCTTCCCAGGTGGCTCAGTGGTAAAGAATCTGCCTGCCAATGCAAGAGACACAGGTTCAGTCTCTGGGTCAGGAAGATCCCCTGGAGAAGGAAATGGCAACCCACTCCTGTATCCTTGCCTGGGAAACCCCGTGGACAGAGGAGCTTGGTGGGGTACAGTCTTGTGGGGATCAGGAAGAGTTGGACTCTACTTAGCCACTGAACAACAGCAACAATCGTTTGCATACCTATTTGTTTTCTGAGCAAGATTCCTGTGAGTAAGCAAAAGTGAGCTGCTTGGTTCATGTAAGCATTTGTAGTGCTGCTGTTTGAATTCTCTGTGGAGAAATCTGTGATGGAAACCGTATGAGGGCTGCTACCTAAGCTCAAGTGACACATCCTTGGCTTAGGGGAAACAGACAATAGAAAGTTTCCAACACCTTAGAATCAACTGGAGAAGGGATGGAGGAAAATAGAGAAAGGCTGGCAATGAATTTTGGAATTCTGCCTTCAACTGGGTAAAAGAAAACATCCATAGGTTCAGTGATCTAGGAAGCCAATAAACAAAAGACAGGGATTTTGTTTCCTGGCTGTACTGGCTAACTCTGGATGTCTAAACAGTCACTTAAACCCAAGAAATGTCTGCTTTAATATTAATGCTAGAGACAGTTGTTAAGTTTAATTTAGCTACTAACCTTTAAGTGGTGATTGCTGGACCAGTGATAACGGGAGCCTTGCTGTGTTGACAAAATGGAGCACTTGGTGCCCAGACACAGAGAGAGTGTTCACAGAACACTTCCCAGTTGATTCGCAGACAGAAGGAAGGACATCTGACTGTGCAAATTCTGCGTTGGGACCCCTGACTCCCACGAGAGAAAATGGGCCAAAACGTCATGTATCTTCTTAAGACAATAATCTTGTTGTGGCCTCATTGGCAGAAGCTGTGTGGTTTCCAGCTTTTGTTTTCTGAAAACAGCTCTTGTTTTCAGTGCCCACAGTGTAGATCAGATCCAGAGTTTCAGCCCACCTTAACTCTTAAATCCATGGGAATAAAAACTCACTTCATTATTTCAGTACTTATTGGTGGTCAAGGAGATCAGCTGTCTCTCATTTCTTTTAGTACACTTTTGTAAAAACCTGGAACAAATTTCCAAGTCTTTGATTGTAAGAAGAGGGTTCAGGAAAGGCTTCATCCAGGAAGTGATGCTTGGACTAGGCTCCACCTTGTCTGATAACTGTAGGATCACAGGCAGATACTGTTGTGGGTGGGGACGGGAAGGGACATTTCAAGCAGCACACAGTGAGATGCTGGGCTGGGCTATAGTAAGTCGTTAGGAGTGGTAGCCATGATAGTAGGTTAGGAGCATTAAGCAAGATATTTAATGTAAAGTACCCTATAAATGTGAGTTATTTGTGTAATAGTTATTCATGAAGCAGTGGTTTGAGCTTCAACAGCTGCAAGCCCCATTGTTAAATCTCTTGCCTTTTTAGTATGTATTTCTAGTTTTGTTTGTTTTTGTATCTAACCTTCTGGAATAGTCTAAGCTAGTTGTTTGCCAGACAGACTAAAGGTGGTTAGTAGCTTAAATTCATATTTCAGCATTGTCCTTTCTTGGGCCTTTGCAAACAGGAAAATAATTGGTTAAAAATAAAACTCGGTTATCAAGAAATACTTGTTTTCCCATTAACTTTCTTTTAAAGAAGAGGAATCCGACATTGCGAAGTGAAATAGATCACTTTAGTACAGTAAAATAGACCATTTGGTTACAAAGATAACTCTTCAAAGATTTGAACTATTTTTTGACTTAGAAATTACCTTTTCCAAATACAGTTAGTAAGAGGCAGACTATGAAGAAATGATACAGCAGCAGACACATTAAGAAGAGAACCTCTGGTCAAGCCTTTGATTTTCAAGTTACAGAGAACTTCAGTTATAGAAAAGTGTGTGTGGTGACTGGCTTCAGACACACTGTTACTGCATAAGTGTCCAGTTTTCCCCTGGCAGTCACATTTTGCTTTAGTGTTCATTTGGAGTATCTGGCACTTACACAGTAATGTATAAGGAGCTAGCTTGTATGTAACACCTGTGATTGTAGTAATGATACTGTATTACATGTAAGGATCCTATACTACATGTGTTTGATCTGTCAGTTGATCAGAAATGTTTGAGCATCCCTTGACGCAAAATCCGGTTCTAGAGACTAAGAAATAATGGCCCTTGCCCTCAGTGAATTCACAGTCAAGGAAAAAAAGATGAAACGATGTCAGAGGCTGCTGTAAACAAGTGTGAACTACTTAGTCGCTAAAGGACAATCACGTTCCGTAGGAACTGGACATGGAATTTTAACCCATAGAGACCATACTTCCCAAGGGACAGTATGGATGTAGATTTCAGATCAGGTTTTCCCATTTTGTAGGAAACAATCTGCTGATACAATAAGCATGGGAAAAAAATCCCCTGAGGATGAAATAGAAAGTGTTTGGTTTTTGGTGACTACTGAAAGTGTCTGGTTCTGAGATAACTCCATTGACATTTACTAATGTATTTTTACTCATTAATATCATTGCACAAGAGTAAAACCCCATTCTGCTTGGGAACTGCATATGTTTTAATGAAAAAAGTGCAGGTCCCAGTGGGCATTTTGGCAGGGGAAGCCAAATGGCTGTTTACCAAGAAACTTCATAGCATCAACTCACTACAGTCTAGTACAGGGCTTCTAAACCTGGGAAGATGATCCAAAAAAATTATATATAAAATTTTTTATCTGTACTTTATTTTTCCTGGGTAAGAAAAAAACCTTAGGGACCATTAGAACCCCCAAAGAAAATCAGTGTTTAGAAAAACATGCATTATTTTAATCATAAGATCAGACCCTCGGCCCTTCGTTCAGCATACACTTAAGTATCCCACCTGTAATTTATGCTCCACGCTATGCTAGGTCCTGAGGTGTAGCACAGTGCTCAAGCCTAATTCGCTGTATTTTCTGAGCTTATTGACAAGCAGGAGGTGGGGTACTTCAACAAGTATTGATAAAATGGCTTCCCGGGTGGCTCAGCAGTAAAGAATCTGCCTGCAAACACAGGAGATGCGGGTTTGATTCCTGGGCTGGGAAGATCCCCTGGATGAGGAAATGGCAACCCACTCCAGTATTCTTGCCAGGAAAATTCCATGGGCAGAGGAGACTGAAGGGCTGTAGTCCACAGGGTCACAAAGAGTCGGACATGCCTGAGCATCCATGCAGGAGCGCTATGGTACAGAACCAAACATGTTTTATTAGGAAGTTCCATTTAAACTTTCCAGTTGAAGTAAGTAATGTTTGAACTAAGACCTAAAGGATGTGCAAGAGTTTATCTGGTTATAAACTGGAGGCAAGGGACGTTAGAGGTGGGGAATGGGGAGGAGACAGCATTTGCAGAGACCCAGATACCAGAGCTGAAAGATTTACAGTCTCTCCAAATTTTCTTTCCAGTAAGTTTTCACTTCTTTGAGAAGAAAT